CTTTATGCATTCTTTGTAAAGTATGAAAAAGGTGTACCTTGGAATCCGTGCTGAAGTAGTTAGTAGTAGTAGGTAGGCCTGTCACGATAAATAATTTTGTTGGACGATAAATGTTCCTGGAAATTATTGCGATAAACGATAATATTGTCGGCACCATTGTAAGACCATTTTAGACCACTGACATAATGATAATATATCATAATAATTCTAGTACATCCTTTCAAACAGAACTTTTTATTGAACATTCAACATTGCAAATGAAATGTGAAATAATATTAAAATATATAAATGATATATAATAAATAAAACAAATTAATTAAATTATAATAAATTAATTAAATCACACACAACCAAAACAATAAATTAAATAGACTCAGGCTGGAAAACAGAGCTCTCAATCCATCTATCTATGAGCACACATTGTCTCACAAGCAAAACAAATCTCCTGAAAAGAACATTCATGTGTTCAGTCCACAGTGCACTGTCCATACAAAGACCCAGATGCCTCAACAGGCCATATCCAAATCTGTTTTTCGAAGTTTTCGAGCAAGGAACACCAACATGTTTGCATTGTCGGGCAAATGCATCTTTGATTGTAAACTGTCGGGAAGGTGGGGGCTCTCCATCTCCAGCTGCCGTGTTTGCTACCAGCTGCGAAAACGGAATGGAGTGGTTGTGTTTTAGGTGTAGTTTAAAATGCGTGGTATTGCCTGCTTTTGTCGCTACCTTTTTTAAACAAATGCGACACACCGCCCGGCTCATTCAAGTCCGTAGGTTGGCCTCGTTGATTTGGCTTGAATCCAAAATACTGCCACACCGGAGAATCGAGATGTGTAGGTTTTGTAACCAATTCCATTTCACTTTAAATTCCCCGCGAGTAANCTCTCGCACACACACACACACACACGCACACACACACACTTCTCCGCCTCATTCTGTTTTCATTTACTCGTTCGTTATCTGACCAGCTTCAATCTTGTAGGCTACTCACTTCGTTTCTTGTAGCCCTCGAAAGGGTTTTGGAGGTTGATGCCTCGCTGAACGTGAGTTGAATTGGCTTTCTTGTCCGCAGCAGCAGAAAGCATTTTCGAATGTTTGAATGAATCAAAGTGGGTCGTCCCCGTCAATTTTCTCTTATGCTCCAACACACAGTTGCACGGGGTGCAGAATAGTTTCCCCCCGCTTTTTGCCTGGTCTTTAGTAGAAATGTTCGTCGGTAAATGAGATGGATTAGATTTTTTCATTTTAGTGTTTTCTCTATCGTGTGAGCTCCACACGTTCACTCTATACAGTGTTGTTTACATTCTGTGATGCGCGAGCTGATGACGTCACGTCAAGACGAGTCAACTTTTTTTTCCCTCAACTTTGTGTGGAAAAATGCGGGGATTATGCAGCCTTTTGATAAATATGCGGCCTTTTAAAAATCTGCGCCATTTTGCTGATTATGCGGTAAATTCTGCGATCGCAGAATCACGTTTTTCTGGAGGGTCTAATTATTAATTTTGTTTTATTGTATTAAATCAAATGTGTCTTTGAAGAGGTGCTAGATTACTGAAAAACAACTGTTAGTGTGTTTATGCACCAGGCTGCAAAAGATAAACAAGCAGTTTGACCGAGAGGCAATTCAGTGCAGAATACATTTTTANGCCTTTTGATAAATATGCGGCCTTTTAAAAATCTGCGCCATTTTGCTGATTATGCGGTAAATTCTGCGATCGCAGAATCGCGTTTTTCTGGAGGGTTGTAACCAATTCCATTTCACTTTAAATTCCCCGCGAGTAAGTCACAGGTTGTGTCCCGCTTGTCGCTATATTATTAATTTGGCTGCTACGCTGCTGTACGTGCACACGGAGTGTCCTGACCTGGCTGTGTGTCAGCCCCGCCACTCACAGCGCGCATGGACGGCAGCCACAGCTCGTCTGGCAGCCACAGCGCTCCTAGCTAAAATGCTGGTCACATCCTTATGTAAACAAACACGCATGTAAACGGCAATTTATCGAGCTCAGAAAAGTTATCGATTCCATTTTTATTTTACGTACGATAAGTCAGTTTATCGATTATCGCGACAGGCCTACACAACATAGCTGAATCACATCTATAATGTAAAAGCAGGAAACAGTTTGCAGACTGTCCCTCACGCCACACAACATTGAATATCAGAAATGTTCACATTGATGCTTCGACATCTTTCATTATCTTTCATCTAACTGTATAATCTGTCTTTCTTTACAGTCATTTACATGCTGCCGGTGCCGGATGGACAGGCGTGGGCGCAGTGAGCAACGGGGCCATGGTGGAGCCCGGGCAGGGCGTCAACGGGGCGGTGCTGACCAACCAGGCCGGCATGAGCACCGCCGGCTACCACACCCACTGATCACTGAGCACAGCGGGCCTCTGAAGTCTCTGAGGCCACAAGATGATACTCTGTTGGGGGAGGGAGGGCATTAGATGCTCTCTCTCTGAAACCACACAAAGTAATTCTGTTAGAAAGGCTGGTACGCCATTTTATCAACCTTAACCAGCCCATAACTTAACACCCACTGCCCAAATCTGCAAGTGTAAAGAAAAACCATCCACTCCGGGACACTTTTAAAACACTTTTAAAACAGCTAATTGCTAATGCACCTTTGCATTCTTGGGCACATTTTATTGTTTGGCGTATTTTTGTAATGCCTGCAGATATCTGGCCAAATGTAAATTATATAACCATGTCAAGATATTTCTAGCACAGCCACATTTTAGTTTAAAAGTAAGATAGTAAAACACCAAGTTCTGTTTGTTTTCAGAGCCAAAGAGAAGGGCAGAATTTTATACCAACGTGTAACAATCATACGGGGAGAAGAGGCTACCAGCGTTGCCACAGAAAGCACTCGGTAGTCCATAGGAAGTCATGCGATGTGTTGAGTAATGGGTGCATTTTTTTTTTTTCTTCTCAATTTGAATCTCTCATTTCTCACGTCTGTCCACATGTTACTAAAGTGAAAAACTAGTCCAAGCAAGTTCTCAGGGTGTGTCAAGTCATTCTGTGAAATGTAGAAAATCACTGAGAAGACAAAGTACACAGTTTGAGGGAAAGTGGGAAAACAAGTAAAAATTCAGCGCTTCTCGACTGTCATCTCCCGGGACGGACTGATGAGTCTGTGGATAAGAAATGTTTGTGCTTGAGTGTGTGCATGAACTGATGCTTTTACACACAAGAACAATGTCCATTAATCTCCCCCTGAAACAGAAAGGACTACGCCATTATAATTTTTTTTGCAATGGGTGAAATAGTATAATTTGTTTTTATTTTTTAGCAAATTTAAAATGCTGACATTGTATAAAGAGCCTTTTTTTGTGTTTAATTTCGGGACTGTCTTATAGAGAGATGTTGCAGTGACACAGTTGAAATCATGTGACACATGAGACCTTTTATGTTTGTTTATAAAACATTAAGTGGCTGCCGACTTTATTTTTTAAATTGGATTTTCAATATCTCAAATAAACCAATTGCAGGGATTACTGCCACTCTTATCTTACTAATAGGCAGACAAATATTGCACAAATACTTAAGGTTATCTTTTCACAAAATTTGAATTACTAGTTTTTTTGTTTTTAAAATGTTTTTGCATTCCACGTTGTTTTCTGTTTTTATGTAAATAACCAAACGGTCTGTTTAATTGTACTGAATCTGTATAAAGACGACATGTTAATCAAGGAAGCGCGCTTGCTTCCTGTTGGGCTAATGGACTTCATAAACGGCTGTTCTACAGTAGCATCCCTGTCCAGTGTACAGTAGAGATGGTGCAACATTTGATTCTTCCAGAGGCTCGGACGACAAGCAGCATTGCTATGTAATGCAAAAGCCTTTCCATTCACAAGTAATGCATCATTTAAGTTATTCTGTCTTAAACCTAAACAATTGTTTTTATAGATTAAGAATCAACCATATAAGGATCAGATTTTTGCACTGTGGTCACCATCAGTTTTAACATAGTTAAACAAATCCATTGTGTTGCCTTATTATTATCATCATCATCATCATCAGTGAGTTACTTTTTAATTTAACCAAAAATCATCCAAGAGTAGGCGTTGCCTAAGAATGTGTTCAACCTATGTTTTGGCAAGGACAGTTCTGTTGATGCTTCAGTAACATGGTTTGAGTTTTTGCTTTGTCCCATTAAAATGCTGATGCTTAAAACTGCTCTCTGTTACGCTGTTTGCATCTTGTCTTTAAAACCAGGTCAGAATGAAGGGTTAACAAAAAGTATAATTATCTACATTTATATAAATAGTATTTTTCTGTTCTCTAAAAGTTCCATGGTATGTATTTCAATATGGTATATAGATACAACCAATTTCTTCATTATACAATAATAATCTATGAATTGGATCGTTTTTTTTTCATTTTGAACCTTAGTACAAAATGTTTGAATGAATCATATTTGGCAAAAGGAAACTGCAATTCTTTAAATATGATGATCTGATGTTATTTGTAAGATTGTTACCAGAAGATGATGGAACAATGTAGGCTTATTTCGGTATTTTTCTGTATGTAAAGCTAATATAAACAGTCTATACATTGATGGTATATTAAGCATTTATTTTACTTTTTGCTCGGGTAGAATGTGAACTTATTTATAAAAGTGTGTTTATTATTCTGAAATGGTATTAAGAGGACTGTTTTAAATCAGCTCCAATGTTGGAGTTATCCATGTCAACTCATGTCAGCCTCCTGTATTTAGAGCATTACAGAGCTCCTCCAGCCTCACACATCGAGATTTTAGCTGTTGCTATAAACACTTCAATTACAGTGGAAGTGGCTCATTACAATATAGATATAAAAGCAATATTCAACATGAAAACACCTGAAAAAGAACCTAAACTGAAGCATTCACCAATATGAACTACACCTCCCACAATGCAGCGACTCAAGAGAGGCCGCCTCTTTTTTGACCACGTGATCGCCTCCGACCAATGGGGAGTGTCGTTACAGGCGCAATGCGGTTGTCGGGATGTAAGGAGGAATGGCGACGGTCGAGACGGATTTGGAGGCCAGAGTAGACCTGAATGTGACCAAACAGAAGCCGAACACAGGTAGTTTGAACATTTGCTCTAAAAACACACACACAGATAAATAACAGTGACACAGGTGGTGTGTTAACAACGAGGTGGAGCACTGTTTAAAATATGCACGACACATTTGAAGCATTGCAAAGCATTTTAACTTTGACATTTTTCTGCGAAACTTAAGAAAGCAATGTGATTTGAAATAAAGTTAAACATTGCAGTTTTTATTTTTGATATCTATTTTTCAACTGAATTTTACCAACACTGTATGGTACATGCATATCAATTCAATCAATACTGACATTATGCTTGTACTGTTATACATATTCTACTCCGCCTGATTTCTTACTGATTCCCTATTTGTTCCTTCATTTAATTCCTCATGTTCATACCTGGATCATTGCAGCCTGTATATGTTTATAAATAGTGTTTGAGAGTAATGATCTACAAGTAATTAAGCTATTGGTTTAATTACAAGAAGTGCTACCATTTGTTATGTTGTTAACTACTAAATCTACAAACAGATATAGGCCCATTGTTTTTACTGTGACCAGTTTTCAAGCTGGTCACAGCTGCAAGGTCTGCAAGTTCTTTTATATCGGAAGAACTTGCAGACTTCCTATATAAAAAGGAAGTCTGCAAGTTCAATGCTATTTTAGTCACAAAACTGAGTGACTCAGTAAGACAACAGACCCATTTTAAAACCAGCTCTCAAGTTGATACAACGGTCAAAAAAGGTAAAGGTTGAAATAAAATATATCTTGGTATTTCATTATTTTTTACATTATGTATGATAAGTGAAAAAGTGGATATTTTTTTTTAATAAACTTAGTCCAGTGACATCATTTTTATGGTATGGATCCATTTTGTCATAATGTCGTATTACATGCTAATTTGATATTTTTTTGTGAATTAATGTGTGTCATGTGATTTATGCGTTGTATATGAATAAATATACACACACACAAACCATTTTCTGTAAGGTCAATAAACAACTTCATTCTATCATATTCGTGGCATTTATGTTTATTTTTTCCCTCTTCATCCAGGTTAGAATCAATTTCCTTCCAATGGAGAGTCTGAAAATGGAAACAGAGGTGACAGTGTCCTCCTCAGTGAGCGTGGTCTCCTCCTCTGCTACCCAGACTACCATCTCTCAGGCCACCCTGGCATCGAAGCAGAGAGACGGCCGAAAACCCACAGCCACGACTCCCCCCTTCCTCTCCAACCTGGGGAGGGCCACCCTGCGGGGGATTCGCAAGTGTCCGCAGTGTGGCGTCTACAACGGCACCCGCGGGCTTAGCTGCAAGAACAAAGCCTGTGGGATTTCCCTCAGAAATGCTTCTACCAAGGCGGGCAGGAAAAGCAAGAAATGTGGAGTGGAGGTGGTGAAAGTGATAATAGACAGTGAGGAGAGTGTCGGGAAAGAGGGTGCAGGAGGAGTCCTTGGTGGCGGCTCAGGTGGAGGAGTCCAGGTGTTTTCAGTGAGTCACAAAGGAAGAGGAGCCACAGCGACACAGCTGGGCTTTGTTGAACTCGTCCCCACGGATACGGCTATAGCTACAGGAGACGGTGCCACCCTGCTAACTCGCATCAACCTGGGGCGCTGCTTCTTGCCCTCATGCAGGCAGGGTCAAAGGTCAAATCAGGGCGAGACAGAATCAGTGGTGGCAGGTTCAAAACAGTCCTCCGACAGCCTCTGCGTCCACATTAAACAAGCGATTGAGTGTCAGAGTCGCGCAACACCGCTGACCTTAAAGAGCTCCGTGCTGGAGGGGCTGCAGGCCTCCATTCAAGCCAAGGAGGAGCTGTGGAGGCTGGCCACGGAGTCTCCTGGCCCCCTGGTGCAGCGCGTGGCAAAAGACACCCTGGTGGTGAAGTGCCACACAGATTCCCAGCATCCTCTGGGGCTGCTGCATCTCACTGTAGGAGCAGGGGGACTGTCGGAGGTTAAGATCGAGGGGAAGGGCAGAGAGCAGCAGCACACGGTGTGTCACTGCGCCTGTCAGCTCAGCAGCAGGAGAGGTAAACCTGGTGCTGATGGAGCAGGTGGATCGTCCGCAAACTCTCTTCCTCCAGCTCCAAGCTCACAGCCCTGCCTTCACTTCTACGCCTGTGTGTGTGCCTTTGCAAGCGACGAGAAACTGGCAACAGAGTTTGCTGCTTTCATCAACTACACCCCGAGTGGTACAGTAACTGAGCCTGTTTTCTTCTGTCAGTTCAACATATTTAAAGGAATAGTTTGTAGGCAGGTGTCTATAGAGTTGTATCGATGCAATGATCAGCAATTCAATCGTTGATACAGAGCAAAAGAGTTGATGTAAACCCTATCCTAAGCCATTACACTTGTGTGTCAACATTTCCATCCAAGCAAGCCTTATCCCTAAACATTTAACAGTGCTTAGTCATGAGAAATGTGGCACTATAGGTTCATTTTTATAATTTTTATATATTTGTTTTGCTTTAATGTCTGAAAGAGCCCAGTAGTAAAATAGTCAAATCATATTTCAGTTGCAATTTGATATAAATCTAACTTATGTTAAAATGGGCGTATGATGTTGTTTGATATGCCTGGCAGTCTTTATACCGAGCCAAACGAATTGGCTTTACTCTCAGTAAGAAAGAAGAACATATATTTAAATTCCTTTTCATTGGTTTTAGTTTAATATCGAATGTGCTTATAATCCTTCTCTCTTCTTTCTTCCTTTCAGGTGTGCAGCAGAACGCCACCAGTAGGCTCTTCAGTCTCAGTGAGAAGCCTCTGCAGCAGGTCGAACCCTTCATCTCTCATCACACAACAAAGAAGCTTCGCCTGGATGATTCTCTCTCTGGTGCTTCACCATAAAACCATCTTTATATCATATTATCACTCATTAATGCAGGATGATTCTCCAAAGCATTTTTGTCTGAATCTTCTCTGTCTGTCCCATCCAACCTGCGTCTCTTTGATGTCATGCCTCTGTGTAGCCCCCTCAGTGGCCTCTCTCTCTGGGTTGGGGATGGAGGCAGTGTCAGCCCCCGGCCTGAGGAAAGCTGGTCAGAGGAAAGCCCCCGGTGCTGGGGGGCTGAAGGCTCCAGGTGCTGCCTCTCTGCACTTCCCCTCCCTGCCTTTTCATCTTCCTGCTGCCTAAATCTGTTTGTTAAAGAGCCTTACATCGTCTTAGACATCTGTCTCTATCTTTATCATCCCCCCCGTCTAATCCTGCAGCACTAATCCTGATCTGCTACTGAAAAGAACAGGGTCGCACTGTCGAGGAGCATATTTTAACGTTGGATTCGAAAACATTTACAGGCCTTCTTAATGAAAGTTGACAGGCAGAAGCTCTAAAGTCTTTAAACACTGAGTATATGGTTGGTGAGCGGTCCACTGAGAAACAAAAAGAAGATAATGTATGCGTGTTTGTTGTGATCTTCTAATCTGTGTGTCTTCATGTCTCAGGCAGTACGCAGGCTGTGGATGAGCGTACGCTGACCATGGGCTTCCAGCAGTGGCTGGCCAGCGTCACAGAGAGGATCCACCAGACCATGCACTACCAGTTTGATGGTAAAGATGAAGTATTATTAGCACGCTGCATGTTTATGGATCATTTCACCATGTATATGCAAATAGATAGTATATCAATTGCGTTAATTTGCTTTTCGCCAAGAGTTAGATGTGATGATGTCACTTTCATGGGTGAACCCCGCTCCTTTCCAGTGGACTACCATGGGACCTCATTCGGGAACAATATCTTAATAAATCAAGAAGTACACATAAGATGTTTGTCAGTTTAAACATTTATTTTGCAACTCAACAAAAGTTTCAGTTTGCCTTGTCAAGTGGTTCTATACATAGTTTTGAACTTGCTTTAATTAACAATTATTTTGTTTATTCATGGCCCAAGTTAAACCTGTGTATCTCCGCTAAACAAATGGCTTTTTTCAATTCTTTGCACTCAGTAAAAAGTTGTTGTTGTGTTTCCAACAGGGAAACCTCAGCCTCTGGTGTACCACGTCCCCCAGGAGTTCTTCAACGCTCTGCAGCATCGCCTGTCGCTGGGCTCCAAGAAGAGGAGGCTGCCCAACTTCACGACAGGTGACATTTATTATAAGAAAGCTATTTTTATCATACCTGGACCTCTACAGGTGCTGCAAGTGTGTGTACTGCATCCCATCCCAATATCTTAAGAAAAAACACAGTGACAGAGATGAGTACTGTAAAAGTTCATATTGCATTGCCTAGTATTTCAATTGTTTGTTTCTTTTACCTTCTACTTCACAACATCTAATATCTGAATATCATGGATTGACTCTTTCTCTCTTCCTATCTGTGTGAATGTCAGCGTTTGTGAGGAATGATGGACTTCCTCTCGGCTCTTCCTCCAAGTACACCTGGCACATCACCAATCTCATGCAGGTCAAACGCATCTTTGACACCTCAGAGGTAAAAAATAGAACTTTCCTCCTCCTCTCTTTTTGTCCCCCTAGCTTTCCAATTTCCTTTTTACTTTCTTAGCGAAACCTCTCTGATCTCTTGTTGTCCTGCTGCCAAAAACAGAGAAGATATGACATGCTAATATAATAGAAACATTCAAATGTACAATCTTCTCACCTCTTTATTTCCCCTTCACTGTCTGCCCATCAGCTGCCTCTGGCGCTCTCTCAGAGCTTTGTAAAAAACGCTGACAGCTCGTATTCACGCTTTCACTGCCCTGAGCCTCCGCCTGAAACAGAACTACCAGATGGATTCAGAACAGATCGGCCGCAGGCTATACGACCGATGGAGCTCCGAACCTTCCTCAAAGTTGGTGGGTTGCTTGTTTTCAGCCTTTTTATAATACCATGAAGCAAGCATTATATTTACACTGACAAATCTCTGCAGGACCAGCGGATCAGAAGGATGCCTGTCCGTTTGTGATCGAGTGGATCCCTGACGTTTTGCCTCGCTGTCAGATGGGGGAGCTCAGGATCAGCTTCGAATTTGGACACCAGCAGAGCGGCCAACCGGAGATCTGTGACAAAACGAGTGTGGCAGAGAAAGGAGGTTCTAATAAATCCGACTCAACCCAACCCAAACTCACAAAGGCTGCTGAAATCCTTCTGGTGGTTGTGTAGTGACAGTAATCAGTGTCAAACCTGCAATAATCCATTTAACTGCCTCTGGGTTTAAAGATATGGATTAATTAAGCAATCACACACGAGAGGCCGTTCTTGAACGTCATTCTCGGTCCGTACGCCTGTACTGGAGTACCAATAATGACGTTCAAGAACGGCCTCAAGTGTATGATTGCGATTCTATTACACAAACTATCATTGTAATCAACAATATCGTAAAAATAATTTCATAATGTGGGCTAATTTGCTCCCAAACCTACGCTTTCTGCTTGAGTTAATCTCCGTCAGAAAGTAGTTCCTAGAAAGTAGTTCCCATGGTAACGGTTTGGACACTGTTCCGAAATCCACCATTTTCTCCTGGGTTTTTCAGAACGCTTTGAGACATTTGACAGCCCAGGTAGTTGACGCCAATTTCTTTTCGTTGCGACTTTTTTCCAACGCACTCAACTCGTCAGTTGAAACAGCCGCAAATCTTTCGTTGGTTTTGTGTTCTGTGTCCATGTCCAACCATTCATCAATACTGAGGCCCCCCAACAAATCAAAATTAACTTTAAAATCTGACATTTTGTAGCTACCGATTTCCAACGAGAGACAATGTATAACAGTGTAACGGCTGTGTGTCGCTAAACGTTGCTATGGAAACCACACGATGTAGGCTCATTGAAGTAGTTTCGGTAGGCTAGTGGCGTGTGTAGGCCACTGGATACTTTGTGATTAGGCACGTTCTATGTGATCGTTGTTTGATCTTGGAATCAAACACGCCTATTGACCAATCAGAGAGCTTGCTCAAACCTATGTGTTATAGAATATGACTCATTGACTTCTACAGCATCTAATACATGTATTATTCTGTCATGGATAATCAATTGCCATATGAAGGACAGTATGATATTTATCATTAGTATTTTCAGACAATCTAGTCTGTTGTACACAACTCATCATAATGCCTTTTATATTGAATGCTAAGTATTCATTACATCAAACTCAAAGAAAAACAACAAAAAGGAAGAATATTTTGGGAAAAATGCCTTTTTGTTTAAACACAATAAGACACAACAACCAGAAAGAAGAAAAACGTATACCTTGTATTTAAAACTAAATAAGACATGTTAATGAGCTTGATGAAAATGTTTCTTCCAATGGGAAAACACACATTCACTATTCCCTAACCTTTCCTAAAGGTTAACCGACCTGTATTTGTGTTCAAGATGTCTGTGTTTCTATGAAAAGCATAAAGGAAATAAAACACATTCATTGGATAAAATGTCTCTTTATTGGTAAATAAGGCTTGGCTGAACTTTGTTTGTAATGCTAAATAAAAAGTGTGTTTTTAGTAAAAGGCCGTGCACCATATTGATATATAATCTCAATCATTCGTGATGAAAGACATGAACAAATAGAAATTGTGTTTTGATTGAGCTTGGCTTGAGTTAGCCTAAGATCCCGATCACAGCGTCAAGTGCTCTGAGCGTGAGAATACAGCATTTCGCATGCTCAAAGCTGATTGGGTGTTGCCCCACCGCTCAAATCTGATCGACTGTTTGCCGATTACTGTTTTGCTGTTACAAAAAGTTAGTCACTGCCACCAACACGTGGATTATCGCCTACAGCAGCACGCATTTTAAAGATTGCCTTGATATTAATAACCTCAGGTTTACTAACCGCTGTACGCTGTTTTAAACACGATAGTTCTGGTAAACTAATAAGATTTGACGTGGAGTGGTTCTCCTTGAGGAAATGATCATGTTTGCTAGCTTTTCAGAGAAAATGTATTTTATTTGCTTCCCATGTGTTTTATACTCAGAGGGGATGTAATTTACCGTGGATGTATAAAGATGTTAGACTTTCAGGAACTGAAGCATGTTTCTGCAAGGATGAATTCAAATATAAGCAGCAGGAAAACGAGCTCATCGGATGGGCGGCTCGCCCCGAATGACAGCCCATACACAGGCGGAGAACAGGTATGTGCAAAGTCTGATTAAATCACCTGTTTTCAGTTAATTATCTCAAATTGTTATTCTCTGTAAGGAAACTGCTTTGTTTTGTTGTTTTAGTGAACAGTGGTCTGTGTTGCCCACTAGAGGCTTTACGTTTGAGCAGGTTGGATCCGGAGTTTGACGTGTCTGTAATGTTTCCCGCCTGTTATATGCTGGCACTTGTATAAGCGAAAGGCAGTTTGGTACCATAATTGACTGTTTTCTGCATTCCTGACTGACTGACTTGCATGAGGTCATATTACCAATTCATTCAATTCAATTAAGTTTAATGCAACGAGCAGAGATATGACTTGTTGTTTGTGCTGCATTTGATCATATTTACCCTTTTAATTCACCAAATAAGTCTAATTGCAATTACAAAACAGTTTTTTCCAAGGGAGCCTTAACCAATATGAAAGCATTATCATGATTCAAACAATGTTGGTGGCAATTTTTATGAAAAGACTTCGTTCTGTAATGCTTTCCCAGCTTTTATGGGTTGATGACACATTTTCACCAGCAGAGGGAGACACAAGCCTTCTCTTTTCCTAACAGGGTTAAAGCTTTTCTAGCAAGCAAAGAAGAGGTGGAATTCCTCTGAGAAAATCAATGTAACCAGTGCCTTATAAAACTCTGTGAAATTGACAAATATAGAAGAAAAATTCTGCATTTATCTGCATCTCATAATTTGGCTGGATCTGGCTTTCCTCCCTTCTGGGCATCACAAAGCAGGAATTACATGCTTGCTTTGAGATTTATCACTGGAAACATCACACATGCTTCCAAAATGTGTCCAAATGTTCATGAATTAATTAAGATTACAAGTTAATACCATGAGAACATTACGCCAAATGATATGCACTCCTCAAAAATAGCAGCTTGCACACTGTGTATCTACATCAGGGGTGTAGGCGTTAGAGAACAGTGCCAGCCCCCGGCCCTGTTCCTCCCTCACAGGCCCCCAGGACATCAGTGTTGAGTACAGCCTCTGCCTGTACAGGGGGCCCGGCTGCCAGACAGCTCTGAGCCACGCATTGAGCTGTTTATGTAGTCTGTCAGTCACAGCAAAGCATCAATCCTCTGCTGGAAGGGAAAGCAAGCACATTGTGACTGGGAGACTTCCTCCGCTGCCTGAAAGATGTGTTACATACCGAAGCAGAAAGGGCCTGAGAGGGGAGGGTGGAGGAGTAAGAGAGAAGAACAAATAGTGTTCAGAAAGCAGAAAAGTTGAATTTTATATTATGTAAAATAATGGCTCAAAGCTCGATGATTTCAGAAAGAAGGAACCATCATCAAGATACAACATTATATAAAGATTTGGGTGTTATTCAGGCGCCTGCAATTGTACAGTAAGACGATGTCATTTAATATCACACATTAAACGCATCTGTTTCATTTATATACCAACAAAACGCAACTATGATTTGACAATTGTATTGCTGGGGTCTGTAGAAAACAGTTGTGCTGCTAACGGAAATGGTGACCCATATATTTCAAATGTATTTAAGAAAACAACCTATTTTTTTAAAGATGGTTTACTATCGATGTTAACACTTCCCACAATCTGGGGTAAAATTAAGTCAGTCTATTTCTCTTTTCAAAAATATTTAGATCTAGAAGCATGATGTTACGAGTTTACTGCTATAGCTGGTGAGCTAACTGACCCCTGGTCAGTGAAAGAGATCGTTGACCTTATTTTCTCTGTTTTATTTAGTTTACACCCCCATGGCATTTTGTTCAGTATTGCACACCATTCAATAAAGTTATTACAAATCAAAAGCACTTGGAGGTAGCTAGTGGCACTAGAGAAAAAGTCAGGGGATCTCAAAAGTCTTCCATCTTTATTATCCTGGTAACATAGATGTCACTCTGAACCAGTAATTCACCGACAGACATCGCAAAATGAGTTTGGTTAAGAGACAACGTTTAGGTATTGTATCCTCACCACCACCCGGCATGAGGAATGTGAAAAAGCTCATAACCCAGAAAACTCTTTCCTTCTCTCTTATCGCATGACTGAGTATAGGCAGCCAAATAGAGACAACAACAACTACATGTCTGTCATCAACAGACTCGCACTGAGATGACGGCTCTCTCTTAGCTCTGTGGTCTGAAACAAGGCTTCTCAGGTTTTACTGCCCTTTTGGACAGCTATGGCTTCTTACATTGGCTTTGTACTGTACTCTGGAAGATACAAAGCTATTTCTACTTTTATTTGAGCAGTTCATTGTTGCCACGTCTTCAGCAATAGTCCCTCCCCTCATGTGTCAGCCGTGTAATGATAATAAGGTTAGAAAGGCAATCTGCACGCAACAAGTGGAGACCATTCAGTGTGTCTTTCAGCAGAAACTAAAACATTAAAAGGGGAAAAACCTTGAGGAAACGCCGATCATCAGTTGGAGAGGTCAGCGTTTTCCGTGCCAGATGAACAAGGCAAAAACACATGATCTGAGCCTGCCTGGCACAGTCGCACATATTAGATATGCATACTCAGTGCACCTGCACTCAACAACACGCTCTAATAACATGCTGCCCTTCGCTGTAAGACAAGGGGGAAGTAGACCTGCCAACAAGTCGTCCACCTGCCAATTGGCATGGCTGGAGGCAGACTGATAGGACTTGTCAACACATCCGTGATGACTGACGACAGACCGTGACAAGGAACATTTCTATATCCTCGATACAAACTCCATTCAGTCTGCCCCAAAAGAGAGGCATGGCTGAGGCAGCACCAGAAAGAGACAGTGATATGGAGAACAAAGATCATACTGACCCTTTACCCAAAGACCTCTGAACCCTGCCTATCAATCATTCAGTCAACAAACTAAATCCAAAGTCAATCCCCTGACAATCAATATCTCAATTCCCCAAACTGTCTTTAAAGATTGCCACTGACCGCACAACAGCCCATATTGATAACCACGTTTTAGGAGGAATTAATCACCCTTGAAAGATGGATGACTCTGTGGAGGGACTCGATTTTTCTTTTTGCAATGTGTCAGTATATTGTGTACCAGACCTTCAACCAAGTATCGATGTTTAGTACATATTTGAGCTAAACAGTCAGAAGATTTTGGCAGTGAAGCTGTTCCATGAGATTATATGTCTGATTAGCCTTCATAACTTTCTGATTTAAAGCTTAATGGAAGACTGTGAAAACCAAAGAAACAATCTTGATTTGACCCTTTGCATTACATGTTTACTGATCCATTTACCATAA